AGCTCAGCTCAGCTCGGCTCAGCTCGGCTCAGCTCAGCTCAGCTCAGCTCGGCTCAGCTCAGCTCAGCTCAGCTCAGCTCAGCTCAGCTCGGCTCAGCTCAGCTCAGCTCAGCTCAGCTCGGCTCAGCTCAGCTCAGCTCGGCTCAGCCAAGCTTCCTCGCTGTAAGGAGAGGAGTGCCTGCAGGGTGTGGGTGATGCACATGGGGTGCTGTTCCCCCAAGGAGCTGCGGCAGAGGCAGGGGTGGAAGGACCGGGGGTTTGTGTCCCCGGGCTCAGCAGTGCCACCACCCCAAGGACCTCCTGCCACCGCCTTGCCCTGGAGGCTGAGCTCTCTCCCTCTGTCCCCTGTGCAGTGACAGCGACCGTCCCTTCTTCCTCTACCTGGCCCTGGCCCACATGCACGTCCCGCTGACCCCCTCGCTGCCCCCCGCTCCGGGCAGGAGCATCTACGGAGCCTCCCTGAGCGAGATGGATGCGCTGGTGGGACGGATAAAGGAGGTCGCTGACAGCCTCGGGAAGGGCAGCACACTGCTGTGGTTCACAGGTACAACAGGAAAAAGGGCTGGGGTGACCCTGGGACTGCACCTGGAGAGGGGACAGGACCTGTGTTTGTCCCCTCCCTCGATGTCCCCTCGCTCGATGGTCCCTCCGAGGATGGGGAGTGGTCCCAGCGTGGGCACGGGGGTCCCAGGCTGCTGTGGCCACTCAGCTGGGTGCCCACCCTGCCACCCCCTCCGGCTGCGGGGCTGAAGTGCTGGGGTTTTCTAATTAAACCGCAAATCCTCGTTCGTTAAGAAGCCCAGATCCGCTCTGTGTCGCTGAGCAGCCTCCCTAATGAGGATGTCTTGCTCCTGATGACAGGAACCGCTCGGCCGCTCATTAACACCCAAAGCTGGTGGCACCGTGCCCCCCCTGCCCTGCCCTGGCTGCGCTCCAGGCCCTGCAAACAAACTGGGAAAATCCAAAATCCATCCATCCACCAGCTGCCCTCCCCGCCTGGGGCGGCACCGCAGGGCTGGCAAAGAGGGATGGAAGGGTCACTTGGCCCTGGAGGTGTCCCCTGCCGTCCTGCTGTCTCTCATGGGGACATTTCTTTCCCTTGCAGGTGACAATGGCCCCTGGGCTCAGAAGTGTGAGCTGGCGGGACGCCTGGGGCCGTTCGTGGGTGCCTGGCAGAGGCAGAGAGGTAACCTGGCAGCGTGTGCCCGGGGGCACAGCTCCACAAAGCCCTTCAGTGCCCATGGAGGGGACACGGGCAGCATTCCACCTTCCCTGCCATCCTCCTCCGGGAGGCTGCTCAGCTGGGACCGTGCCCTGGGCTTGAGCCCACCCCAGCGCTGGTTTTTTCTTTCAAACAGTCAAGTTTCCCCCAAAACTGCTGCGGGGGGTGGGCTGGGGTCCCCATTATCCCGGAGCTCGGGGTGAGTGTGCTGCTTTGGAGATGGGATGTTGTTATCAGCCCCATCAGGGTCTCACAGCCCCATCCCACCCACCACCCTCCCCGCACGCTGGGACTTCGCTTTTTTTTCTCTCTCCACCGTTTTTTTTTGTTTTGTTTTTTTTTGGGTTTTTTTTTGGTTTTTTTTTTCTGGAGGGTTTTCTTTCGGGTTTTTTATTTTTTGTTTATTTTTTCGGTTTTTTTTCACTCCTTTTCCGGCCAAGCCATCTGCTTGGTGGGTTTATTTCGGCGGGGGCAGCCAGAAGCATTCATGAGTCAGGCGTTTCCCACTTCTGCTTGTGTTAAGGTGCCAGGCTGGGCTCCCCCAGCCCGGGCTCAGCAGTGAGGGGCTTCCTTCTCCTCTTCCCGACATTTCCCTGGGCAAACTGCGCTGCTCCCATTCCCTGAACCCTTCCTTCTCCCGGCCCCGGGATAGAATCGTAACCTTAATTTTCTAGTAAACAAACCCCGCCGACGGCCCCGGGTTGTTGCTCTTGAGCAACCCAGGGTCACAAGCCCGAGCAGCTGGTACAGAAACTGCGGCGTTCGGGAACAGGGCGAGCAAAACACGGCCCCTTTCCAGGCGCTCTGTGCCCTGCGGAACAGCCGGAGCCCGCCTGCGGTGGAGCCCGGGGGGAGCCGGGGCTGGCAGGGCTCTCCGAGCTGCCTGGGAACGCTGCCGGCAGGGCTGACTTCGGAAATCCCTCGGCTGGTGGCCGCACGGATGTTTGGAAAGCGGCGCTGCCGGCTGGGCTGGCACTGCCCGGGGCTGGGATGCTCGGCCCTCGCAGCCCGGAGGCAGCGCTCCCTGCCAGGAACAGCCCCGAGGAGCGGGGAAACACACACTGCTCCCAGCTCGGCTCCTTTCCATGCGTTTCCATGGGTTTCCATATGTTTCCATGTGTTTCCATGTGTTTCCATGTGTTTCCATATGTTTCCATATGTTTCCATATGTTTCCATGTGTTTCCATATGTTTCCATATGTTTCCATGTGTTTCCATATGTTCCCATATGTTTCCATATGTTTCCACGTGTTTCCATGTGTTTCCATATCTTTCCATATGTTTCCATGTGTTTCCATGTGTTTCCATGTGTTTCCATATGTTTCCATATGTTTCCATGTGTTTCCATGTGTTTCCATATGTTTCCATATGTTTCCATGTGTTTCCATATGTTTCCATGTGTTTCCATGTGTTTCCATGTGTTTCCATATGTTTCCATATGTCTCTGTTAGTTGCTGTGTTTCTACATGTTCCTATACGTTCCACCATGGTCCTATATGTTCCTATAAGCTTCTACATGTTCATATATGTCCCCATATGTTCCTGTAAGCTTCTACATGTTCCTGTATGTCTCCATATGTTCCTATAGGTTTCTATAAATTTCTGCATGTTCATATATGTTCCTATATGTTTCTACATGTCCCTATATGTCTCTATATATTCCTATATGTTTCTGTATATTTCTACATGTTTATATATGTCCCTACATGTTTCTATAAGTTTCTACATGTTTATATATGTCCCTATACATTCCTATACATGCCTATACATGCCTATACATTCCTATACATTCCTATATGTTTCTATATGTTCCTATATGTTTCTATAAATTTCTGCATGTTCCTATATGTTCCTACACATTTCTATAAGTTTCTACATGTTTATATATGTCCCTATACATGCCTATACATTCCTATACATTCCTATATGTTTCTATAGGTTTCTATAACTTTCTAGAATTTTCTACATGTTTCTACATGTTTCTAACATGTTTCTATATGTTTATATATATTACTGTATGTTTCTAACAATTTTCTATATGTTTCTGTATTTCTGTATGTTTCTGACAAGTTTCTGTATGTTTCTAACATGTCTCCTGCAGCTCCATCTTTTGTTTTAGGGTCCAACCCTAAGTCCCAGGGATGTTTCCACTGATTTCAGGTGGAGTTGGGAGGGAGCAGCGTATCCGTGTGTGCTGCCCCTTCCCTGTGCCTCCCACAGCCCCCAGCCCACCCCAAAAACTCATCTCCCACCTCGGGGTCAAGAGTCCAGCAAGGGGGGGGATACTGGGAGAGAGAGAAACATTCTGGGGATGTGATGCTGGGCATGTTTTGAGGGGAAATTCCAGACCTGGTGTCCCTGTGCTGAGGACCTGCTGTGCGTGTGGTGGGACCAAGGTTTTCATCCCGCCATGGGAATGCACAGTTCAGCTTTCCTGGAAAGCCTGGAAAGTCCCCACAGCAGCAGGGCTGCATCATCCCCAGTCTGGAGAAAATTCCCTGGTTGGGTTTGGGTGTTTCAGCCCTGTTTACTTCCCAAAGTGTTAATGTGACCTCATTCCCAGGCTGCTCTGACCTGAGCAGCCGGAGCTGCTGGGGTGGCTTGGTCAGGAAATATCCCTCTGATGTCCTTCCAGAGACCCCTGACCATGCATGGAAAAACCCTGGAAACGCATCCAGGAGGATGAGTGTTTTAATATATGTGCAGAGATGGGGATTGATATTAATCGCTGTAATCGCTGGGATTTCCTGGGGTGTCTGAGGCCAGGGGGGAAACACCAAAACTTTGGGAGAGCCTGGGGATGTGCTCGGTCCGTGCCAGGGTCAGAAACCTTTTCCCTGGGCTATTCCTTGTGCTGTCCATGTCCTTGCGGGCACGGCAGCGCTGTTTGGGGCTGGATCAGCCCGAGGTGTGGGGCGGTGGCTCTGGAGGGGCCGGGCCGGGCTGGGGATGCTGCAGGGACTCTCTTGGCTGTGCCCCGAGGAAATGGCTGGGGGCGAGTGCCGTTGCCATGTGCACACTGAAAGGCAGCGCACAAAGGCTGCTCCTGGGAAGTTTGCTCGGTGAATCGGGTTGGGATTTTCTCTTTGCCCCATTCCCAGCCCCTTCCCCCTCCAGCTGCCTGGGGCCCTCTGGGCTGCAGCCAAGGCAGAGGCTCTCCAGCACCCTTCCAGCCCTTTGGATGCGTGGTGATCCCATTTTGGGGCTCAGCACCCCAATTTTGGGGCTCAGCACCCCAGCCCCAGTGCTCAGCACTCCAGGAGCTGGAGGGACTGGGCAGCTTCCCTGTGCATCTCCAGTCCAAGGGCAGAGCAGGGGTGCTGTCAGGGAAAGGATGGATCAGGTTCATTAACTGGCAGCAGGGTTATTAGCAGGATGGTATTTTTAATGAGGCAGGTTTCCAGCAGGTTGGGGGGGAGGGGGAGCTGTTGCTGCTGGGCCCTGCAGAGGACAGAAGCCCCTGGAATAAATTCCTGCATTTCCTGCCTGCTCCATTCTCTCACCTGGCATCAGAAGTGGATGGAAACGCAGTGGCTCTGGCAGCTGCTGCATTTCTCATCACTCACTGGAGCAGAGAAACACAGACCAGTGCCCAGCTGAGACCCCTTTCTTTTCCCTTTCCCTTTGAAAAACACCCGTAGTTCTTCTCCCTTCCCTGGCCCGGTGGAACCATCCTCCTTCGGGGTAATTTACAGCATCTCTGCCCCTCAGCAGCTCCTTTCCCAGGGAAACTCCGGGCTCAGGAGGTTTTCCAGCAGCAGCAGGATGCTGAGCGCTGCCCTGTTCTCCTGCAGGTGGGAGCTCAGCCAAGCAAACGACCTGGGAAGGAGGGCACAGGGTGCCAGCCCTGGCGTACTGGCCCGGCCGTGTCCCTGCCGGGAGGACGAGCCACGCTCTGCTCAGGTGAGAGCCCTCGGGGACCCAGCTCATCACCTGCATGTTGGCAACAGCAGCTGCCTGCGCTGGTTATTCCCTGCCCTGTGCCAGGCTGCACTTTTGTCCTCTCCCAAGACTTAGTGCTTCAGCTGAGAGGAGCTGAAAGGGCTTTTTGTGAGGCTGGAGGGCTGGCGCTCGCAGCCAGCGGGCTCCGCGTGCTCCCGGCCGCCGTGGCCAAGGGCCTCCCGATAATTAAAAGATGACGATGTTCTCTCTCCCCACCAAGGAGCAGGCTCAGGCTTTGTGGTCGGTGGAAGGCTTTATGTGGAGGAGGGTGCGGTTGTGGGGAGAGATGGCGCTGGCAATCCCTGCAGGATGCGGCCGGGCCAGGATCCGGCGGCAGCGAGGGCGAGGGCTGCTCCCCACACCTCTGCTCGCTGGGGAGGGCACAGGGAGGGCCCAGGCTGCCCCTCTCCCTGCAGCATTTGCACCCTTCATGTGGGACCTGCACCTCTCCTTGCAGCCCTCCTTGGCAGCAGATGTGGGGCAGAGCCCGGGGCAGTGTGGGGGGAATGTCCCCATTCATCCCTGGGGGATCCCCACGGTGCTGGGGGTCAGGCTGCTGGGGTTTGGCGTTCCTGGGCATTGGGATGTCCTGTCCCCTTTCATCCTTGAAGCACACAGGGTGGGGGTCTGGGGTGGGGCTGGGTGTTGGGAAAGAATGTCCCAGCTGCTGGAAGCAGGTCCTGACTGGCGGGCCCTGGGGCACTGCTGGGTGTTCCTCAGGTCCTGAGATAAGCTGGAGACACTCACTCATTCCAGGGCCCCAGGGCAGCTCTGGGAGCTGGAGTTCTGCAGGCAAGGGAAGGTTTGAGCCATAAGCTGAGTCACTGGTGTCTGGTGGAGGGGATGGGGAGCCTGTAGCCCCCCATGGTTTCACCTCCAAATCCTTGTCCTCCTCGGGCTGTGGGGCAGAGCTGCCAGCCCCTGCATTTCAGGGTCACCATCCCACCCCCCTGTCCCTGCCTCCAAGCCCAGGAATTCTCATTATCTCCTCAGAGACCTTATCTCCTGCATTTCCCAGCTCCAGTCTGACGGGTTGGACAGCTGGAAATCTGGAAATCCAGCAGAGGCTCATGCAGCACTGCAGGTGCTCCCAAAGTGTCTCTGTAGCTGCCCAGGGGTGGCAGTGCAGCTGGTGTCCCCTGCAGCAGAGCCTGGCCGTGCCATGGGGCCGTGCCCAGCTGGGCAGGTCCTGCTCTGGCATCACCCCCTCCTTGGGAGGCAGCACAGAACCAGGCTGGGGACATCACCTCAGGAGTGTCACCACTGTGGGCCCAGCCGTGGCCTGAGGTGGGACAGGGGACGTGGAGGGACACAGAGGGACGTGGAGGTGCTCACAGGACAGGTGGCTGTTCTCTGTGCCTCTGTCACCCTCGGGGACAGCCCCCAGAGATGAGAATGTGCAGCAGGGACATTGAAATCCCCCCAGCTGGTGGGGAGGACCGAGAAGCTGGGGAGGAATGAAATGTGTGTGCAGGACATGAATGTGTGTGCAGGGGATGAGTGTGTGTGCAGGGGATGAGTGTGTGTGCAAGCCATGAGTGTGTGTACAGGAGATCAGTGTGTGTGCAGGGGATAAGTGTGTGTGCAGGAGATCAGTGTGTGTGCAGGAGATCAGTGTGTGTGCAGGAGATCAGTGTGTGTGCAGGAGATCAGTGTGTGTGCAGGAGATCAGTGTGTGTGCAGGGGATGAGTGTGTGTGCAGGGGATGAGTGTGTGTGCAGGAGATAAATGCGTGTGCAGGGGATGAGTGTGTGTGCAGGAGATCAGTGTGTGTTCACTTCCCGAGAACCTCAGCATCCCCAGGAAGAGTCAGGCTGGGCAGGGGAAAGCCTTTTCCACCTGCACAAGTCTCCTCTGCCCCTGGGGTTATGGAAAAGCCTGGCTGGGGCACAGAGGCTGCTGGAACTGCTCAGAACCTCGTGGCTCCGTGTCCTGGCCAGGGGTGAGCGAGGGTGAGCGTGCCTGGGGAGCTGGGGCTGGCACAGGAACGCTGATGCCTCACCACAGACCAGCACCTGCACGCTGGGCTCTGCACAAAACTGCCTTGTCTGCTCTTCTTAATTATGTTTAATTGTCAGAACCACCCACTGTGCTTCTGCCCTTCCCTGCCCCAACCCGAAGTAGGGCATGGAAGAAGTAGGTCAGCAGGGTGGTGAAGGAGGAGATTGCACCATCCTGGCAGCGTGGGGCTGGGCAGGGTGGCTGAGCTGTGGGGTGTGGGGAGAGCAGCTGCCTGCAGCCTGCCAGAGCACAGAGCTCTGGGGTGCTCAGCACCATGGCCAGGCAGTGCCAGGGGAAGGGATACCCACTGTCCCACAGGCAGGGAGCTGCTGTCCCTGGGCACTGCCAGGCCCTTTTCCCTGCTGTTCAGGCAGCAGCAGGATGCTGGAGTGGCTTTATGTGTTCAATCTGTCCTGGCCAGGGCAGGGGTTGGCAGTGTGGCTTTCCCCTTCTCTCAGGCACAGCTCCCAGGATGTGCCTGCTGGTAGGGCCTTTGATACCACCTTCAACCAAAAATCCTGTTTTTAATGCCTTTTCCCATGGGTTACACCTTGCCATGGCTGGGGAAATCTCCAACCAGCTCTGCCCTCGATCATGTTGTTCTCCCAGCCCGGTGTTCCCCTCCAGAGGTCCCATCCATGGCTCAATGGATGTTGGGAGCTGGATCCTGGGGGTGCTGGGCACCCGTGGGGTCAGGGGCAGGTGAGCTGCTGCTTTGGGGGACCTGCTCTGCCCCCAGCAAGGTGCCTGCAGGGATTGCAGTGCAGAGCCAGGATTTTTTTGGGCGCCTCCCGGCCGGCCTGGCCATGGGGGCCGTCTCGGTGAGCGCCGGCCGGGGCTCGCAGCAGTGTTTGTTCTTATTTGTTCTCTCTGTCTCTTAGCAGCTAAATTAAAACTCGTTCAATGGGAGAACTGGGGGCTGTTAAGCCCAGGGCTTTCCTCTCTCTGCTCATGCAGATCCCATCAGGCCCTGGGCAGGAGACAGCAGGGGCAGGACACACCAGGATCACGCTGGTGGCAGAACTGTGGTGACAAGGTCACGCTGGCAGCACCCTGGTGACCCCAATTCCTGATGCTTTTACCTCCTGAACCAATCTCCTTGCCCCAACCAAGCCCTGACTGAATCCCAGCAGCTGCCTGGGGGCTGGAGGGGTGTGAAATTGGGGCTTCCCAGAGCTGGGTTCAATTTTTTGCTGTTTTCTGGGAGCAATTGTTTGCTGGGAACGATGGTTTTCTAGGAGCAAAGGTTTACTGGGAATGAAGTTTCCCTGGGAGCAATGATTTTCTGGGATTGAGATTTTCCTTTTCAGCTGTCAGGAGCTCTCCTGTGAGGGATGTGGGGTGCAGGTGAGGTTGGGGAGACCCTCCAGGGATCCTCACTCCTTGCTCTGATGACTGTCCCCTCTTTCCCCAGCATCCTGGACATCTTCCCCACGCTGGTGGCCCTGGCTGGGGCGGCGCTGCCCCCGAGCAGGCGCTTCGATGGCTTGGACGTGTCCCCAGCTCTCTTTGGCTGGTCAGACGTGGGGCACAAGGTAAGGCAGGGCCACCCCCGGTGCCACAGCTAAAACTGGGCTAAAACTGGTACTGGCTCAGCCTGGGGATGTGCAGATCCATGGGAGTGCCAGCCCCAGGCCTGGAAGAAGAGGAGGACAGCTGGAGATGGCTGGGTGCTGTAGCAGGCTGGGTTTGGGATATCAGGGTAAAAGGGTTCTGGGTAAATGAAGGTTGTTTTGTGCTTTGTTCACAAATCTGGGACTAGAGGTGGAAATGCCCGTTCCTGCAGCTTGGCACCTTCCTGTGTGCCTCAGAGCTGTGTCTGTGATCCCAGGGACACCAGCCCAGGGTGTGGCAGCCTGCAGTGCCCGGCATCTCTCTGATCCTAAAAGGTGCCTCAGTGTGGGGAAGGGCAGCTCCCAGGGGTTCAAACCTGCTTATACCAATTTATTTATCTCACCAGATCGAGACGTAACCAACCCCTCTTCTCCCAGCTCCAGGGTTCCATCAGGACAGCCCACCCCACATCCCGAGCTCTGTCCAAGCTGGCAGCATCTTTCACCCCAAAACCCACAGTTTTCAGGACAAGCAGACACGTTTGTCTCAGAGTTGCACGAGATTTTTGCAGAACCAATAAAAAAAAAAGGAAAGGTGTCTTTAATAGCTGTCCCATGGATAAATCCTGATTTTGCTTTTAAAGCACACCCTCCTGCAAGCACCACGAGCCAGCTCCCAGCGGGATCTTGGATTGGCTTTCCGTGTCCATCAGGGGTTTGGTATTTGCTTTGTATTTATGGAACCCTCTGCTGAACTGGGAGATGGAGCAGGGAAGGGGATGGGATGTGGCCAGCACACTCCACTCTGCTCTGCTCCTCGGGATTAACCCTGCTCGGCACGGGCAGTGCTGGGAGCAGGGCACTGATGGTTTGCTGGGAATGAGATTTCCCTGGGAGCGATGGTTTGCTGGGAATGCTGGTTCTCTGGGAGCAAAGGTTTTTTGGGAATGCTGGTTCTCTGGGAGCAAAGGTTTTTTGGGAATGCTGGTTTTCTGGGAGCAAAGGTTTTTTGGGAATGCTGGTTTTCTGGGAGCAAAGGTTTTTTGGGAATGCTGGTTTTCCTGGGAGCAATGGTTTGCTGGGAATGAAGCTTTCCTGGGAGCAATGGTTTGATGGGAATGCTGGTTTGCTGGGAGCAATGGTTTGATGGGAATGCTGGTTTGCAGGCAGCAGTGGTTTCTTGGGAATGAAGTTTCTCTGGGAGCAATGTTTTTTTGGGAATGCTGGTTTGCTGGGAGCGATGGTTTGATGGGTGTCACGGTGCAGCCATTCCTGTGTGGAATTCCCCCAAGGCTTGGGATGGCACTGCCATGGGATGGGGTGACCTCGGAGGGGACCCCCAGTCCCTGGGGTGATGGGAGCAGCCCTGTCCCTGCTCCCTCCCCTCCTGGCTCCTCGCCTGTCACCCCCCGCCTGCCAGCGGCCGATAGTGACCCCCATGCAGGCTTTCCCTGGACACAAATCCTCCTGAAAGCAGCTCCCTCACTCACTCCACTGCCCAATTTCCACACTTCCCTAATTGGGGTCGCTGCAGCTCCCAGTGTGGGCTGCCTGGTGACACTGTCCCAGTGTCCCTGCTTGGCACTGGCACAGGCTGGGGTGACACCAAGGTCCTGCTGAGAGCGAGGGCTGCTGGCAGGAAAAATAAATCACACCCACCAAGGAGCACTGAGGGTACCAGGAGCAGTAAATCCCTCTGTGCATCAGCTGAATGTGAATAGCCTGGAGCACCAAGTTCAAGCAATGAATTTTCAGGGGAGAAAAGGCTTTTCCTCCCCCCTGCCTTCTCTATTTTTTATTTATTAAAATAATAGCCATGGATTAATGGAAGAGTTCCAGATCTGGGAATGTTTCTTGAATCAAAACAAACTCCTTAATTATGCAGTAAATTATAACAGATTTTCTAAGTGTGGGGTTTTAAGAGGTTTAGGAACATGGTTGTTGGTAGGAAGAGAGGTTTGAGTGCCCTTGGCAGCATCCCAGCTGTGCTGTTAAAGGTGTAAGCAAAGCTTTAAGGCTGGAGACAGATGAATTGGTTCAGTTCCTGGTCCCTTGGCTTCACAGGCCTTGAATATTTGCTGATCCTGCTTTGGAGCTCTTTGATCCTGCCCAAGGAGTGTCAGCAGAACACTGACACTCTGACTCTGCAGCAGAGCTTCCCCCTTGCACCAGGCTCACACTGCACCACCTCTTCCACTTTACACCCTTCCTATTTTTCCCCAAAAACATAAAGATCCAACCAAATTCCAAATGTGATTTTTAAACAAATTATGGAGGGCAATAACAGAAAGTGAGAACATTTGGAAATCAGTCCCTACCCTGAATCCTGGCATTTCTTGGATGAGGTTCCAACCAGTCCCATGAGACAGTGGCTACATCCAGACCAGGCAGCATGGGATGGACACCTCTGGCTGCCTGGGATCCCTGGAATTCTCTGCCAGGCAGTGTGGGATGGACATCTCGGGGTGCCCAGGGTGCCTGGAATGCTCCGTGCCGGGCACCTGCTCAGGCACTGCTGCACTCATCAGCTGTGAGTGTTACTAAACTTGGCACTGCAGCTGCCTACAAACTCCAGCAGATGTTTCTAATTTTTAGCACAGTGGAAATTTCTTGAATCACTTTTAAACTCAAATCCCAGGGAGGAAACCTCAAGTGACTCATCCCTCAGTGAAGGCACTGGCTCCGCGGCAGATGTTATCGGAGAGAGGAGCCGCTGGAGTGTCCAGCTCACTTGTCTCCTCACTCCCCAGTGCCAGAGCAGCCATCCTGTGTGGATCAAGTGTCCTAAATACCAAAAGGGAGAGATTTGGCCCACCCTTCCCTCCTTCCCCTGCTGCTCACCCCGTTCCCTGGCTGTTGTCAGGGAGGGGAGCCCTGCACAGCGGGGTGAGTCACACGGACGGGAGGGATGTGGGAGGGATGTTCCAGCACCTCACCTTCCCCTGTGCCTCGCATGAGCTCACCCTCAGCTCGTGGCTGGCTGGGGCTCCAGCCTGGGGCTCAGCTCCCCTGGATGTCCCCACTGCTGGCTGAGCTGTGAGCACCCAGGGAGGTGCTCAGAGCACCTGAGACCACCCTGGTTCCCAAATATTACACAGGCATCTAGTGATAGGACAAGGGGGAATGGTGTTAAAGACAGGAGATTTAGAGTGGATGTTAGGAAGAAATTCTTAATTTTAAGGGTGGGGAGGCCCTGGCACAGGTTATCCCAAGAAGCTGTGGCTGCCCCATCCCTGGCAGTGTCCAAGGCCAGGTTGGAGCTTGGAGCAACCTGGGACAGTGGAAAGTGTCCCTGCCCATGGCAGGGGCTTGGACTGGATGGTCTTGAGGTCCCTGGTCCAACCCAAACCATTCTGTGATTTTATGATAATCTGTTGAAAGCCCCAGAGCCTTTGTGATCCCTTTCTTGCCACAGAACTGGGAGATAAATTCAGAGGGTCCTGCAGGGGCAGGAAAGGCAAAGGGAGATGTTGGTGCTTCCTGGGGCCCTTTTGCCATCTCCCCACCCTTCAGCAATCACAGCTCTGCCGGCTGCTCTGAGTCCAGGGCCTGAATGCCATCTGTGAATGTGTTCAGGGGTGGGATCATCTGGGGAGGGAGTGGATTTCTTGGAGCAGGTTTTCTCTGCCATGGGATGACAGGAATTATTCTGTCCTTCCTGCAGGTTCTGCTGCACCCCAACAGCGGCGCAGCCGGGAAGGTCGGCGGGATCGAGGCGCTGCGGCTGGCTCAGTACAAGGCGTTTTACACCACAGGTAGTGTGTCCCTACCAGAGGTTGTGAAGTCTAAGAAGAGACTTCTGGAATTCTTAGATCCCTGCAGATGCAGGAGAAAACCAACTCAGGTTAATTCAACCAAGAGCAGACCCGAGGATGTGCCGAGCTGTGTCTGCAGGATGGTGCTGCAGCCTGGAGAAGGTCTCAGCAACCTCTTGGAACAAGAGCTGGGATGGGAATGGGCCATCCTGGGTGGGTGAGGAACACAGAGGTGATCCCTGGACCTCTGTGACTCCAGGGTTTCTCTCCCATTTCCTCCCTAGGAGGGGCCATGGCCTGTGATGGCAGCACGGGGCCGGCGGAGCGGCACCAACCACCCCTCATTTTCAACCTGGACCGTGACCTCCAGGAGCAGGAGCCTCTGGATGTGGCATCCAGGGAGTACCAGGCAGTGCTGCCTGCCATCAGCAGGGCTTATGCCCAAGCTCTGCAGGACATTGCAGCAGACAATGTCTCGGTTGCAGATTATTCCCAGGATCCAGCTGCAATTCCCTGCTGCAACGTGCAGCTCGTGGGCTGCCGGTGCCACGGGGCTCACGGAGCCACACAGGATCCCCACGGGGAAGAGAGAACACCACAGCTTTGTCTTTAAGCAATAATTACTCAGGCTGCTCCTTTCCCAAGTGTGGTGTCTGTGAACTCCAGGCTGGAGGTGGCCATGGAGGGGGATGGAGGCTGTGGTTCCCTTTGCTCCACGCTGGGAGGAGGGAGGTGAGTTGGGTGTGGGTCTGGGGGAGCACCCAGAGGGTCCCCTTTGGACCCTGGGCCTGTGGAAGGCTTTTTGTGGGGCTCTTTATCTGGGAAATAGACAGCTCTTGGATTAAAACTACCTTCTGTGAGAGCTGGCTTTGGGAGAGGACTCCTCTGGGAAATTGGCTTGGTTTTCCTCTAAAAAGAAACTTTCCAGGAGCGGCTGGTGGGAGCACAAGGCAGGGGAGGATGGGGCTCACAGCCTCTGGGCAATCTGGTGCAGAGACCCTGGAAGTTTGGTGGCTGCAGAGAGAAAACTCCTGGCTGGCAGCAGGGGAGTGCTCTGGGAATGCAGCACCTGCCCCAGTAGCTGCCTGCTGCTGTGACATCCAAGGGTTTGGGAAAGGCTGTTCCCTGAAGGTGGCAGGGAGAGACCTGGGGCTGCTCCCCACCATCTCTGCAGGAAAGGGAGAGGTGTCACTGTGGGGTTTGGGGAGGTCAGGGAGAGGTCCCTGCCCTGAGCTTTCCCAGCAGATCAGGGCTCCAGGCAGAGGAACTGCTCCTGCCCAGCCCAGTGCAGGCACAGATGGAGTGAAACAGCTCCTGTGGGGCCAAAGGCAGAAATGAAGGTGCAACTGAAACCTGAGAAACCACTGGGATTTCTCAGCAGCTGAGTGAGGGTGTTCTGAAACCATTCTGGATTCTGATTTACACACCCAGATCTTTCTTTAGCCATAAGAGGACTTGTGTGGACTCACCCAGGTGTGCTGCCCTCGCCCCAGCCCCCCAAACCCCTCCCTTAATCCAGGCTGACACATTTAGGGCCCCAAAAAGTACAGCAGGAGCTGCCAGGGACAGACTGTGACTTTATTCTGTCTTTCAGCATAGCAAATGGCATCTTCTCTAATATCACTGCAAAAATACTTTGCCTGGGTTAAAGTAGTCTGTATATACTGTACAAAGACATAAGTTTAATATCTCTTCCTATAAGTACATTTATACACATAAAACAGCATAAATTAGAAAAGGGACAAATGGGTATATAAAATTCTGGTTACATACAAATCTGATTAAATTAGCATTTACACTGTGGTTCTAACATAGAGTTTGTTAAATAGAGCCATGTGCATACAGTACATTGACATCCCACCCAGACACAAATTAAAACAGGGGCTAAAAGGGCCAGGTGTTCACTTACACCGAGGAAAAAGTGTGGCCCACCTTAATTTATATTTTTTTTCTCATCTTGGGGACTCACAGATCTGTTCTTCGAAACTCCTGGCTTTTCCAAAGCACCTCCCAGCAGCTGTCTTAAGCGTGGATGTTTTGCTTCTCCTCATGACCTCTTCGCCTTGCCTGGCTGACCTCCACGGCACAAGATTATCTACCAAAATCAAAACAGAAGGGCCTTACTTTTCCCAGCACCAGGGAGCATTTCCAGTTGGTTTTACGCACACGGGAGGAGCAGGGGGAGGGATGTCCTGCAGTGTTTTACTTTCCATTCAAAGGCAGATTGGTGAGAGGTTTATTTATTTGCTCTCCCCCTCCCCAAATTTACAGTCCTGGGAACAGGAACCATCTGGCTCAGTGATAAGCGTGTCTCTGGCTGGCACTGGGCAGAGCAGAGCCAGGCTTTGGGAAGTGCAGTTCCTGGGGGTGAAGTGCCTTTGCCTCACCAAGTGCTCCCAAAAAGCTCAGCTCTGGTGTGGCTGGAGGGAAGGGTTTGTGCTGGGTATCCCTGCATCACTCTGGGGTCTCCAGATGGATCCCAGAGTTAAACTCCAACAGGTTACACAGGATTAGGGGAGGGAAAGCCCAGCCTAAACACCAGCAAAGCCAGGGAAGTGAAAGAGGAGGCAGGAGCAGAGAGGAACAGACAGCAGCAGGACCCTGATTCACCTCCCACCTCAGACGCTGGGGAAGTTGTGCCCCTGCTCCTGGGTGAGGCAGGGGCAGCCCTGGAACAGATCTGCCCCAGGTCCAGCCTTGCCAGACCTGGAAGGGATGTGCACCCCACAGCTCCTGGTCTCTGCCAGCTCCTCCTCCCAGCTCTGTCTCTCCAGGAGCTGCAGGACCATCACTGGCCAGGTTTCCAGGCACAAGCACTGACACTGGATGGCACAATTCCCAAGGGACCTCAGATAATGTACTGATAAGCTGAGATTAATCCTGCAAGCCCCAGCTGCCCAAAATGCCAGTCTGAGCTACAAGGGCAGGAGCCAGGTTCTGCCAAACTCCTTCATCCCCTGTGAACCATAATTACAAGTAGAGCCTCACTGGAAAATCTGTGGCCTTCCCTCTGCTACCAGCCAGCTGTTAAAAAATAATCACTTAAAATAATTAAGTGTCCATATCCATGCAACAGAATGAGGGAAAGACCATCCAGCAAACAGCCAGGAGGAATCTGGGCCAATGCTGCTTCCAGAGAGCCAGAGATGGATCTGCAACCTGGTTTCTTGTATCAACATCTGTGGTCTGGAGCAGCTGAGGGGTGTGTGGACCCCATGATAGGGTACTGATTGCTTCCCTCTTGTAGATCTCCCCGGATTTTTTCCCTCCTACAGGCATCCTTTGGCAGCACAGGAAGCTGCCCAAAGTGTTTTGGAGCTGCCAAAAACTGATGGGAAAGAGATGGTTTTTAAGAGTGATGGAGTATCAGTGAGGGGAAGTTGCCTTTGAAGAGCTGATTGCAGTCTCACTTGACTTAATGAAATATCTCTCCTGATAAAACCTTCACCTCTGGGTCCTGCAGCCAAATGCAGGATGGATCACCTATGCCTGGAAAGCACTGACCAATCTGCTGGAAGAAATCATCCCTCCTGCTGAATCCCAGAAGTTTTGGGGAGATCCCCTGGATGCACTCCCCAGCTGCACACAGGCTGTGTAGGATTTCTTCTGCCAAACCTCACAGCACTACCCCAAAACTGCAGTGCCCTGCCTGGCCCAAAACACACCCAGCAGCTCCCAGCACCACTGGAAACCTCAGTCCCTGCTACACCCACAGAACAGGGGTGGCTGCTCAGGCAGGTGACCAGAAACAGCCCAAACTGCCACAATTCTGCAGCCACAGCTGGGTTTGCTCTCCCCACCCTGTAAAATCTTCTGATCCTGCAGGGTGGGGGCTCTGCAGCCTCCTCCCTGCGCATCCAGCACGGCACCCATGGCTTCAGCCCCCTCAGTAACACCTGAGTCCTTCCTGCCCAAGATCAGCAGTGACTTGGAGTGCTCAATCCACCCCATCCATGCAGGAATTGTCACTGAACTGGTTTAACCTCCTTCTGCAATCCTGGCACCAGCAGCAGCAACATCCACGTTCCCTCTTCTGAGGCCACTTTTTACGAGTCCTCCTTGGGCTCCTCATCTCCTCTCTGTCCCTCCTTCCACTTAATGAACAGGCAGTGTTTGACAGATTTTATGTCAGGCTGAAGCTGGTTTTCCTCAGTCTTTAACAGTGGAGCCTCTGAAGTCTTGCTTGAGGTCAAGGGAAGACAAGAGGTTTCAAAATGGGGAGAAACTGTGGGGTTTGAGCACTGCTGTTTCTCCAGAACCATGTCTGAGTTCAAAGCCATACCATGGGCTGCGGGTGAATATTCCATTTTGTCACAAGTTTTGAGGTTTTTAAAAGTCTTTTTGTTGCACACTGGAAAACAAACAAAACCCTTCCCATGTTTCCGCAAAGCCGAACGCTGTCAAAACATTTTTGTTGGATAAGGTCAGGTTTTCTCTCCCTCCTTCTCTGCACAGGAATGACCTGAAACCCCCTTCACTGAGACTGGAGATCTCAAGTGCTGAGAAAACAGCCAAGTTCAGTGAAATCCAGAGCATCCAAACATCCTGAGTGCTCCCACTGCGAGAGGCAAACCCCAAACCCAGGAGCGGGGGCTTTATCTGGGAGCTCCATTTGCTCAGCCTCCTTTATCAGGGAGTATTTTTGGAAAGCACCTTCCCTTCCCACACCACCTCCTCCCTAACAATACACATGTCACCGCTCTGTCAGGATAATGACAGGATTTGGAGGGATCAAAGTTCATTTCATAAAGCACCTGCTGTGGTGCAGCAGGGGTTTGGGGCTGCTTTCATCCAGCACAGTCCCAGCAGGAAGCCTCATTCAGGAGCAGCGTGATTCCTGCATGCTGGCATTTGCTTGTCCCCAAACCACGAGTTCAAGAGCAGGTTTAGCAGAAGGCAACAAAGGATTTCTCTCTGTCCCTGCTGCTCCTTCCAGGGGCCTGGGCCATCACCTTCTCGGTGGGCACACAGAGGGAGACATTTTAAATATCCTTCTTGAGTAATGGAGTTGGACAGCTGGGAAATTCCTGCTCCCAGTTTGCAGCAGGGAATGTTGCAGGTAAGGAAAGAAATAATCTGAGGGTTGTGGGAGTTGAGCTGGGTTTAGGTGGTGCTGGCTCAAAGGGAGTCATGAGCCAGCCTCCTTTTATCTAAGTAAGACTTTGCCTCAGCTCAGAGAAAGGTGCCTCACAGAGGTCAGCTCAGCACATGGAACGAATCCTGGGATAAGGTTTGTACTTCCTCCTTTTCAGGCAAAAATCCAACAGCAGGATATGTAAAAATGAAGTAAGGAATTCCAAAAGCCTGCCAATGCTGCAACCTGAAATCCATTACAATATTCTGCTGCATTACTGCTATGAAGACACCACTGATTACAACCAGATCATAGCACAGACCAACATTTGTCCAATTAGGGATTAGGTACTTAATTAATGAGTGCAGAATAGGAAAAGGAGCTGGAATGACACTGCCAGGCTGAAGTCAGATTGAAAAATCCACTAGCTCCTTCCAATGGTAACTGAGAAAGTGCCACATAAAAATCATAAAATGGCTTAGAACTCTGCTATTCCTTTCATCTCCGTACTTGGAAAAGGAGTTTCCTTCTCAGTTACCTTGGAAATGAAGAGACTGGTGAGGTTCAGGTATGTTCCAGCTGCATTCCATGAACTAACACAACTGACTGAAAATGCAACAGGGTATTAAGTTTTTATTTCTAAATTGTTCCAATTAAAACTATTCCTGGTAATATTAGGAATCTGCTCAAGGCACAAAGGTTAGGTCTGGATCTGAACACCATTCAGCAAGTTTGTTCAGATCTATCTCTGCTTAGGTTTGATTGTTTTTGCCCCATCCCCAGCTGCTGTTTAGTGGAGGTGTCATTTTCCTGGCACTGTCCCTAGAACCCATTCAGTTATTTTAGGTTTCCCAGTGAGCTGGGACAAGGAGGGGGGCAATGGAATCTCTTCTGGGAGAGATTCTGCCTTCTTAGCATGAGGGCTGCACTGCAGGTTTAGGGGTCCCGAATGCTCACAGGAGGAAACTCATTCTCGTCGTCCAGACAGACTGGTCCAGTTGCAAACTCGTGCTCTGGGATAACCTCCCCACGCAGGGCTCCACCGTCCTCCGAGTAACCTGGCCAGGGGAAAACACAGGGAGTTACTGCAGGAAGGGAAAGGTGTCTCCATGGGCACTATGGATTATGGATGAGCTGTATGGTCAGCTCCCGTGGCAGCAGCTTTCCTCCTCCTGCCATGAACCTAAGCACCAATTCCAGAGTAAGATCTGCATTTGGATTTGGGTGTTACACTTGGGAATATAATGAGATAGTCACCCAGTGTTTTCCTGCAGCAGTTTAGTGCAAGGTATACCGGCTTCAGAGACTCTGAGGCAATCTCACCACAAAAACAGTGAGCCCTGACTTCTACACCCACGGTTCCAGCTCCTGGAAACCACCTGGCAGCAGCTGCTGTCTGCCAAAGAGCTGTTCCTGCTCTGCCTTGGGCCTGTCTGTGGCACAGCTCGGCACGGGGAGCAGAGCAGAAAACTTGTGCCCTGTGTTTTGTGGCAGGGGATGAACCAGGTGAGCTCCAAAGTCCTGCTGCCCCAGCGTGCAGTGCACTTGTGCTGATCCTGGACGAAACCTTGGAATGTGGGACGCTTTCCACTTTGCCCCAGATGGTTTTGTGGCTTCTGCCTGAGGAAGGGCAGATGTGGTGCTTACCTGGCATGGTCGAAGTTGAAGGCACTGTACTTTGTCTGGCTACAGTTGCTGCATAAGATTGAGGTACTGGAGGCTGAAGGTCGTTTTCTTTGTTCTCCTCCATCTTTCCTGAGCCAAGCAGACTAATTGTACAGATCAAGAGAGGGGAGAAGTGTTAGTTCTGATCCCGGCTGTTCCTCCCCAGCTCCAGCTAAGACAAGCCCATGCATCCACATCTTGAAGCACATCACCCATCCC